GCCGGCGGACTAGCGGAGGAGCCATGTCCGCGCTGCCGGGGCTGCGGCCCGAGGTGCGCGACAGCTGCACCTCTCTGGGGCTGATACTGTTGGTCGTGCTGTTCATGGGGTTGGCACGCTCGATCGCTCAGAAGCAGCTGCAGAGGCCCGTGGCCCACGCCTTTATCTTGGAGTTTCTAGCCACCTTCCAGATCTGCTGCTGCACCCACGAGCTGCTGCTTCTGAGCGAGCAGGACTCCGCGCACCCCACCTGGATGCTGACGCTCATCTACTTCTTCTCTTTGGTGCACGGTCTCACTCTGGTGGGCACCTCTAGCAACCCGTGCACCCTGATGATGCAGATGATGCTGGGGGGGATGTCCCCTGAGATGGGGGCGATGAGGTTCCTGGCTCAGCTCGTGAGCGCCCTGTGCAGCAGGTACTGCATGAGCGCCCTTTGGAGCCTGGGTCTGACTCAGTATCACTTCAGCGAGAGGAGCTTCGCTTGCCAGAATCCCATCCACGCCGACTTGGCCAAGGCGGTTATCACAGAGGCCATCTGCTCCTTCATCTTCCACAGCGCTCTGCTACATATCCAGGAGGTCCGAACCAAGCTTCGTATCCACCTGCTGGCTGCACTCATCTCCTTTTTGGCCTACGCAGGTTTGTCATTCCCACAAAACACTTGGCACGTCCGACCTGAGCCTCTATGACCTGAAACTCTTAAGTTCTTTATCAATATACATGTGAAATCCTGCAGTGCTGTAATATAAATATTGCCGCCCCAGCCCTGATTATTTTAATTTGTACCCCGTTCTTAACTGGTAAGGCCAACACATAGATCTTTCCTTCAGGGCTCAGGGAAGGGAGCGGCTTCTGTGATGAAACTGAGATCCTGTTAGATATTGCCAAAGGTTCAGATATCCTACAAAGGGCTTGTTTCAAAGTTAGAGAGGAAAGACAACTTACCAGTTACCTTTTACCATGCCGAGGTGGTACAGATCCTTTCTAGCACTATACTGAAAAACTATCTCAGGTCTAAAAAGTTCCTTCTTACTTAAACACGACTGGTCAGTAAGTTAAGAGTGGGGAGTAGAAATTCTGAAGTTCCATATCCTAGTCTTTTCCTGCAAATTACTCATTTCTTATTTCTATAATAATTCATCTTGAGTTACAAATGAACTTGTAAACAGCCTATTAAGAAAGATGTTCTAGGGCCGGGGATTTAGCTCAGCAGTTTGGTGGCCTGCCTTGCAAGCGCAAGGACCCGAGTTCAATCCCCGGTACCAAAAAAAAAAAAAAAAAGTTCAAGGGCCAGGGACTTAGCTCAATGGTTCCACCTCATGAGATGACCGCAGCTCATTCCCAGTACAAAGAAAGAAAGAAGTATCATTTAAAATGACTGCAACAAGTAACTTTACTGCGACTGTATCTGATATATATAACTTTTAGAGGCATGAAAATAGGAAAAGAAATTTAATGATAGGGCATCTTCTTTCCATTAAAAGTCCAACTAGCCAGGTGTGGTGGCACATGCCTGTAATCCCATCACTCGGGAGGCTGAGGCAGGAGGATCACTGTGAGTTTGAGACCAGCCTGGGTTACATAGTGAGTTCCAAGTCAGTCTCAACTACATAGTGAGACCCTGTCTCAAAAAAAAAACAAAAAAAAAAACCCAAAAACCAAAATAGTTAAACTAAAGGGCTAGGGGTGTGGCTCAGTGATGTGTGCTTATCAAGCAGGTGCAGGGCTCTGGGTTTGAGTTCTAGCAACAGAAGTGGGGGGGCATTATATGCAATCTCAAGTAAGGACCCCTAAACATGTTTGATTTATGAAAGATTTCCCAATCCATTTTACCTTCTTTAGATATAGCAGCATTTTTTAAAAAGGTAGACAGATGAAAATAAATGGTATATAAAAAAGAAAATAAATGGTATATAGGGGAAAAGGAGTGGTGAACAGTTACTTGCCAAAGTTTTAGGTTTTGGCTAAAGCAGAAAAATCCAATGTATATGAATAGAACTGTCCCTAGTAAAAAGTTATGCCACAGTTTAGTTAGTTCTCTCTGTACTTGTACAAATGACTAGAGGGACAGTGTCTCAAAAAAAAGGGCAATAAAAAGTTGCAAGTTTTTAAAATTAATATAACATTAACTACAGCTGGCTCTTTACCTCTGTCCCTACTCCTTCTGTTATCATGAAGTTGGTATTTTTGTCTTTTTTATACTATTTTTGCACTACTGGATACCCAGGGCCTTCACCCCAGACCTTTTTATTTTTTATTTTGAAACAAGGTCTTACTAAATTGCTCAGTTTGGGGTTGAATTTTTGATCTTCCTGCCTCAACCTCTGAGAATAGTTACTTTTAGTGCACAGTTATGACTTCATAAATAATACTACAGATATTATCAGCTGTTTTTGATTTTATAGTGACAGATTTTTTCAGACAAGAAAAATAATGTTTGAAGTTATAGGTAAAATAGGAAAGTTATTGGAAGAAGTCAATAAAATATCAATTTAAGGGATGCCAAACCCTCCTTTTTTTTCTTGAAATGTAGCTACTAATTAATGGGGAGGAGAATAAACAATCACTATTTTAGTGGTTCTCAACATTCTCTTTGCTTTAAATCACCTGGGGAGCTTTTAAAAATACCTGTCAGGTTTCAAAGATTAAAATTTAATTGCTCTGCGAATGAGGCTAGGCAGTGGTATGTTCTGAAGTTCCCTCAGGTGATCCCATTATGAAACCGAGGTTGAGAACCACTACTCTAGGGAGTCTAGATTTGTCCTGTCCAATTCAGTAGCTATTAGCTCCATGTAACTATTTAGGTTTAAATTAGCTAAAATTAAAGATTAATTCCTCACTTGCAGTAGCCATATTTGAAATGTTCAAGAGTCACACTGTACTGCAGCTAGTGTCTACTGTACTGGACAGTGCCAGAAAACACAGGGGTAGAAGCAAATGAACAAATGCCGGTTATTCCTACTTAGAGAAATTCATAATCTATTATGCTCTTTGTTTAAATTTTGTTTTCTGCCCATATAAGAGAGATTCACTGAGTATATGTTATAGACCGAAGCATCTTGTAAGGAAATCTATGAGTTCTTAGTTAATCTTTACACAGCCCACTGATGAATGTTATTCCTATTTTAAGTAAAATAAGTGAGGCTCGGAGTAGAGTGACTTGTCACCATTTATACTGCTAGAATATACTGGAACCACGGTTCAAACTCACACTAAAGCACCTACTCATTTCATTATCAGTATTTCTACAGTTACAAAAGCATACACAATTGAATGACTTAGCTATAAAAAGGAACAAAGTTCTGACATACACTACAACATGGATGAACTTTGAAAACATTATGCAGACATAAGAGGACAAATGTTGTATGACTTCACTTTCATATTATATGTAAAACAGGCAAATTCACAGAGTCAAACAGTATAATAGAAATTATAAGGCTTGGGGAAGAGGGAAGAATGGGGTCTTATTATTTAAAGGATACAAAGTGTGTGTTTGGAATGATGGAGAAAAATTTTTTGGAGTGGTTGGAAACTTTTGGAAAAAGTCCTGATGGTGGAGCAGCATTATGAATGTAAAGAACACCAAATGGCATGCACACACACTCACACACACACACACACACATCTTACTACAATTAAAATCCTTTTAAATGATGAAAGAATTCAATTGCCAAATAAGTCTGGATTAAATAGGTTTTCTGGTCTTAAGATCTTACAGAGCCTTTACTGCTACGTAATGGGCCACTCAAGAGGAGGAGGTGGCACACAGTTTGCAAACCTAAGAGATCCTTTTGTCTTGGAGCATGTAGCCGAAGAAAACCGGGTTTGGGAAATGCTGCATTAAACCATATCACTCTACATTATTTTCTGCGGCTATGTCATAACTCTATTCCAGATTGAACGGATGGACTGTCTTGAATGTACTGTCAGGTAAAAGCAAGGCTTTTACAAGAAGGGCATAAGAAGTAAAGGGAATAGGGCAGAAGAGTTGACTGGGTCCGGCCTCATTACAAGTCACTTTGGTATAACTTTTAAACTTCTCACATAGTATGAGTACAGACTTGACAAGGGTGCACTGCTCTGAAATTCCTTTAATCATGTGGCTTTGAGAGCACTCAGGAATCACCAATACAGGTCACATCAAAATAAATGATTAATGATTTGGATTAAGATTCAGAATATAACTGTCTAGCAGCATAGCCACAAGTTACTAGGATGATGTACGTATTCATTGATTCTTAGCATCCCAAGTTTTTCCACTCCTGGGGTTGAGCTCAGGGCTTCCCTGAGTATGCTAAACACATGCTCTAAAACTGAGCCAGCCCAGAACCTCAAAATTTTATGTGCATCAGAGGCTACTGATGTTATTATCACTCATATTTATTGGCCTACCTATAAAGTTAAAAAAATAGCTGTGTGACTTACAGAGTTATATACTTTTTTTTTTGAGATGAGGTCTCCCTATATTCCCCAAGCTGCTCTTGCATTCATGAGCAAGTGATCCTCTCACCTAGAACTTCTGAGTAGCTAGGATGACAGGTATGCCCCTCTGTGCCAGTCTCTTAGTGCTACAAAGTACTAATGCAGATGTCAAACGAATCTTCCTTAATTTGGATTTTGGAAGAATTTAGTTCAATGAACAAGATAAGAGAATTACATTCATTTTTATGCATAATTAGATACTGAAAAAATGTTATTCTACACATGTAAGCTGTCTTTATTGCTGCACCACTTTAAATTTGTAGAATTTTACTTTTCTGTGGTACTGGAGATTTAACACAGAACCTTCACAGTGGGCTGCAGGCGAGTCCCCTCCACACCTTTTATTTTATTTGTTATTTGTTATTTTTTTATGGTACCAGGGGTCAAACTTGGGACCTTGAGCTTGTGAGGCAGGCAGTGACACCACTGAGCTAAATCCGTGGCTCCAACCCCTGCCCTTTTTAAATTTGAAGACAGGACCTCACTAATTTATCAAGTTGCCCAGATGGCTTAGAACTTGTGATCCTCCTGTCTCAGCCTCCCAGAATGGTAGGATTACAGGTTAGTGCCACTGCACCTGGCTTGTAGACTTTTAAATTATACATCATTTTCTGACATAATGCCTGTCTTCTGCAACCAGATTATAAGCTTTGAGTACAGAGACCAAATTTATTCATCATAATATATAACCAGTGCCTAGCATACTGTCACATGGTACTAAAATAAGCAGTAAGAATTTTTAGAGTAAGTAAATGAACTATTTGTTTGTTCATTTTTTAAAAAATTGCAAACAAAGATAAAATATATATTTGGTATTCCAAATTATATTCCATGGGCTTTCAATATAAATAACAGGTTGTTTGAAGAAACTGTAGTTTTACTTCGTTCCAGATTTTTGGTATCATTCTAAGTCATAAATGCAGGTAAGATTATCTGTCAAAAAAGGGAACTAAGTCCATGTGTTCCTTTTAACACAACAATTACATAAAGTGGATGCTATTACCAATTTACAAAGGAGGCCAGCTTCAAACAAAGGTCCCATACTTGTTACTATAGCAGTATAATGTATTGGTTAAGGCACAGGTTTGGAGTTAGGCTGTACCCTTGAACTCAGTATGTACTGAGTTATGGTCCTCAGTTTCCTCATCTTTAAAGTGCAGACTAAAGCCAGGCTTAGTAGGACATACTTGGAGGCTCAGGCAGGAATAAAAGTTTGGAATTAGCCTGGGCAATTTAGCAGCATGCGATCTCGTTTTGTTGTTTTGTTCTGTTTTGTTTTTTGAAATAGGGTCTTGCTCTGTAGTTTAGGCTGGCCTCGAACTTGCAGTGACCCTGTGTAACAAGATGCTATCACAAATTAGGAGAGCTGTGGATATAGCTCAATGTTGGAGCACTTTCCTAGCATGCACAAGGCCCTGAGTTCTATCACCAGTACCACACACACACACACACACACACACACACACAAAGAGAATAATACAATGTCATAAGAGTATGAGTAGTATTTCAAGTTCTTAGCATAGCATCTGGCATATATTAAGTGCTTAAGAAATGTTATTGTTATTATATTGCCCTACTAACTTCTATTACTATTACCCTATAACTTCTCATCAGCTTAAAGTATAACTTGATCATTTTGGCATAATTGATTCTTTTGATATTCACAAGTCCTTTGGGGATAAGTTCAGGTAAGTTTAATTTACAACTTTTATATAGAAATTTGTCTATTTTCAAATCATCCAGTTAAATGATTTTTGTTCAGATTCCTACATGTTCCCCTAACCTGAGAAATGTTAATGGCATTCTCCAGGTCTGTAAGAATAACTAGCCTAAAATCAGCTAGCTAGAAAGCTTAATTAGTAAATAAGCATATCAACAGGATGTGAACCAGCAATAAAAATGTGGAATGTTTGGAGATGTAATTGAGAGCCTTGTCCACCAGGCAGAGATTGAACCTGGGGAAAACAGTCTTGTCACTGAGAGATACTTTCAGTCCTGGACAGTGGTGTTTTACCAGACTTCATCATAGTGTTTGATTATATGCTCACCAGATGACTTCTGAGGGCAGACTGGCTTTCCAGGGGGTACTTAACAGGAAATAGGTGCCCTGGAGATGGAAGACAAATATTCTGGTTACTGAAAGGACTAGCTCCCACTATGAATTTGTAAATTGACCTTCTGGCTTATATATGAGTGCTACACAATTATAACTAATATTCTTCTGACAGATTTTTTTTTTTGGTACTGGGGATCGAACTCAGGACCTTGTGCTTGCAAGGAAGGCAGAGGACCCGCTGAGCTAAATCCCCAGCCCAACACACAGAATTTTATTCCCCTTAAAAAAATTGAGAAATATTAGTGCCCTAGAATTGCTAGACCTGGGACCTCATCTTTGGATGTGGTAATTTCATTAAGTTCACACTGTCCTCTAAGACTCAAGGGATTCAGCCAGCAAGATCTCCCTAGTGATACCTCCAACACACACTATTATAAGATCATCCTTCAAAGGCCAATAAATAGTAATTTGTTTGCAGAAGCCACTTTCAAATAGTTATGTGCCTGATTATTCTTTTAAAATAATTCACGTTTAATTACACATAAATGTGTTCTTTATAAAAGACAGAAACATGAGCCAGGTATCTAGCTCAGTGGTGCCATAGCCTGCCTCACAAGCACAAGGTCTTGAGTTTGATCCTGGATACAAAAAACCCCCACAAAAACCCAGAAACAAGTGTCTTTTGACTGTCACCTTCCATGCCTGTCCTCTCCTTTTCTGCTTGTTCTTGCCACTGGTAATCTTTGTGTGTGGTGTGTATTGTTCTTCCATATTTTTCTTCAATATTCTTTAAATGCAATTTGTTACACATATAGATACTACACTGAAACTATTATATACTTATGTTCACGTTAGCATAAAATATTGTATCTAATGTTATGGTTTTGATCTAAATGTCCCTCACAGATCACGTGCTTGATTGCCAGATGATGGGCTCTTGGGAAGTGATTAGGTCATGAAGGTTTAATTTCATCAGTTGTTTAATCCATTAATGGACTCATGGCAGTTTGATGGCAGTATTGGGAGGTGATGGTAATTTAGGAAATTTTTCTCTAGCTCTGCTTTCTGGCTTCAAGTCCAGCAGCTTTCCTTCCATCAAACCCTCTGCCATGTCTCTTCCTCATGAAAGGCATAAAGAAATGGAGCTAGCTGACCATGGATTGAAACCTCTGAAACTTGTGAGCTAAATCGTTCCTGCTCTGAGTTGTTCCTCTCAGGTATTCTGACAAAGTGGCAGAAGGCTGACCCATCTCACATCTTACATTGTGCTTTTTTTGGTGGTAGTTGATACATCTATGCTAGTAGAGAGATTTTCTCATCATCTCAAAACACTTCAGGATATTCCAAAGTAATAAAACTTATTTACCTACTTTTCTATAAATGCACTTTTAGTTTATCTAGTTGTCACTATAAATAAGCAAATTTCTTATATACAAATTCCAGTTTCTCTCCAGGACAGTGGTTCTCAACTAGGGAAACTTTGCTACCAGGAAACATTTGGCAATATCTGGAGACATTTTTGCTTGTTACAGTATGAGGAGAAGAATATGCAACTGGCATCTGCGGGGTAGGGGTCAGGGATGCCAGTAAACATTCTATAGTGCACAGGACAGCCCCCTACAACAAAGCTGTACCCAGTGAAACAGCAAAGCCCATGTTTGGGGCTTTTGTTAACATGGAACCTGTGCCTGATGTGCATTTCTTTTCATTTTTATCCATAACAAACCCTTTCAAAACTTAACAGTAATTTATTATCTTTCACAATTCTGAGTTAGATGGGCAGATCCTCTAAGGTTACTCAGGCAACTGCGTTCAGTTGTGGGGCTGAGAAAGCTAAGGTGCCCCTACTTATATGTCTGGTTGGTGCCAGCCATCATCTGAGTCCTCAGGGAAAAAAAAAAGGATGGAGGATAAGACTACTGCTTGGTAGGAGGAGCATCTTTTGCCAAGTCACATTGAACAGAACAGTGATGTAAGGGTTAGAAGATAAGGAAAGCTCAAGTTTTAGAATGGTATGAGAATGACATAATGTTCATCTTATAACAGAAAGTCTTCAGTACACTGTAGCCCACAGTACTGAGGTCAAATAATTTTAAGGGCAATTGTTTAGTTCATAGTTCACTTGTATTACCATAGGTCATAAAAATGTGAGCCTTACTCTTTCTGCCCAAGCTACTAGACCTAGGAACTCATTTTCTGTGGACTTTTACTGACCAGCTGCCAAGCAAACAATTCTGTTAGCCCGTGGCAGTTGCAGGTTTACAATCCAGGATTTGACTAAGGACTGAAGGTCCATGACACGATACCATTTGTCATTGCTGGGGCATGAACATGAATCATGCCGTCAGGCTGGTATGCTAGGAAAAAGCCATTGAGTGAGCTGTTTTGCTCAGTATCTTCATCTCAACATAGCTTCATTATTCTCAGCCCATCAAGTGTAAAATTTCTGTGAAATATGAAAGGGTCACTTAATTTCCAAATTCACTTTACTGCAGTTTATGAAGACACTATACTGTAGTTCTGGTATGTTAACTCTGTGAAACTCTTGGAATCGATCTCTGCCTGAAGGAAGAGATAGATGCGTATCCTTAGGCTTCCAACAGGAGGAACTACCAGGAACATCACTGTCTTGGGGAAGCTTGTAAGGTTGAGAAAAGCACAGCCACAGCTCTGCAGTGCTGGACAGTCACCCAGCCTCCCTGCCTTTCCTTTCCTGCCCTGTGGCCAGAACTATACATTCCTGGCCCTCATATCAGTTGGAATATGGGTGGCGAGGAACATGAGTCCTGAAAAGTCACAGTTAAAATTTGTGCTTATCTCTCATGACCACTTACAATCACTTCTGTTTTTATGAACTTTGAGTCAGTCACTTCTTTGTTTTTTGTTCTTTTGGAGATTTTCCTGTTTAAAGACCCTTCTAACAAGTAAAAACAATGATAATGCTTTAGTTCATTTTATTTTTTGTTTTCAATACAAAGGCATGTGATGGCCATGGGTATCCTGAAATATTATATTCATTTTAGCTGTACTTTCATTTTATTTTTTTCATTATTAATTCAAACTGATGAATGTTAAGAGCAGTCAAAACTGTTGGAACAATAATAGAGCACATTAACTTCCAGTGTGCACTTTATAGCACACAGGCAAAGTGCTGAGTTTAAACTCCTAATATCATTTGTCTTTTTTGTATCTAGCATTTTATAATCCTCTCTCTTAGACTCTATGCTGGTTTAGTCTGCAAAGAATATCATAGAATAAGAATACTTACAAATCTAGAAGTAGCTGAATAACCCACTGATTTATAAGTACAAGAAAATGTAAAATACACCGTTTGGAATCACTCTGCTTAAAATGTGTTACAGGAGGAAGTCTAACAGGAGCTCTATTTAATCCAGCTTTGGCACTTTCACTTCATTTCATGTGTTTTGATGAAGCTTTTCCTCGATTTTTTATAGTATACTGGCTGGCTCCTTCTTTAGGTAAGCATATTTTTATTTAACATGTCTGAAAATCAGGGTATCTTAAAAATGTGATATGGACTGTTACTGTAATATGTCAATTTCCACAGCCAGAGTAATCAAAAAAAGAAAATGAAAAAGGAAGTTAATAGATTCAAAGTAACATTTTATTTGCGCCTTTAAAACTCTTTATCAGAGCTAGGAGTGTAGCTGAGTAGTACAGCATTTACCTAGCACTCAGGAGGCCTTGGGTTTCACTAGCACTATAAATAAGTAAATACAATTAATTAATTTAAAACTTCTTTTTGTGGTACCAAGGATCGAACTCAGGACCTTACACTTGTGAGGAGGCATGGTGCCAAGGAGCTAAATTCCTGGCCCTAAAAACTGTTTTCTATCAATTTTTGTTTTGTTGTTTTGAGACAGGTTCTCACTACTATGTGTCTCAGGCTGTCCTTGGTCACTATGCAGCCGAGGTTGTCCTGCATCAGCCTCAGCTGATTATAGGCATGAATCACCATGCCCAGCTAAAACTGTTTTTATTTTTAAAGAAATAAAATCAAGTTAAGGTTAATCAGTTTAAAGTATGAAATCCCTTTAAGAAATCCCAAGGAGCAGGAGAAGTACACACCTGTAACCCCAACACTCTGGGAAGCTGAAATTTGAGCCCAGCCTGCACAACTAGTTGAGATCATCTCAAAATTTAAAAAATAAAGGGCTGGAGATGTAGTTGAATTCAAAGACCCCAGTTTCAATCCCCAGTACCATCCATACACATACCACCCACAGGCACAGACTCAGAGGTGGGCTGTAACTCATTGGCAGGGTTTGATCTGCATGCACACACAGTTTCAGGTGCAGTGGCCTTTGCCTGTAGTTACAGCTACTAGGAGACTGAAGCAAAAGAATCCCTTGAGCCTACGAGTTTGAGGCCAACTTAGACTGTTGGTGGGGTGGAGGGGTGGGGATCTGCCTGGCCAGTACAAGGTCCCGAGTTCAATTTCCAGTACGGGTGAGGATGGGACTGGCGTGATTACTAAACAAAAAAATCTTTTTGGCTGAAATTATCTTAGCAAATTTGTGAGCTCTGTTCCCCTGACTTGCAGAAAAGTATCTCATAAAATACTAAATAATTGCAGTTAAGCAGTTTTTAAATTATCCACAAGCTTCACTCTTATTATTTGGATCAGATATATAACCATTTTTATGTAGAGGGGTCAAATAATTGAAAAATATTATACAATAATTATAATAGGCTTTTTCTTTTCTTTTTTTGGGGGGTGGTCTTGGTGCTGGCACTGAGCTTGAACCTAGGGTGGCAAGTACGCTAGGTCTACCAAGAGCTTTACCTCCAGCCCAGGCCATATGCATTTCTTGAGCTTATTGTGTGGTGCAAGCCTGTAATCTAATTCCAGCACTATAATTCAGACTGTAAAGTTTCAACTACATGAAAGACCATCTCCCAGAAAAGAGCATTTCTTTGTATAAGTTGTCAGCATTTCATGATTTTTTTTTTTTTTTAAGTCTCACTATGTAGTTCAAGCCAGCCTTAACTCATTTTGTAGTCCAGGCTGGCCTCTAGTCCCTATGATCCTCCTGCCTCAGCCTCCAGAGTGCTGGAATTGGATTCCACCTACTTAGTTACCAGTTTAGCTCCACACCTTAGTTACCAGTTTTAGACCTATTTATAATTTATAACTGTAAATTAATAAGAATGTGTGGCCTCCACTAATTCTCCACTCCCATTTTTGTCCAGTTAACATTTTGTTTCTTAATGCTCATCTTCTGTTTAAAAAGAAAAGGCACATGATAAAGGAAAAAGTCTCATGATAAAGAAAGAAAAAATAACTCTTCCTCCTTTACAGACCAGAGTGGGAGAGTAGAGCAGAGAACTATACAGTATTCTCAAATCTGTATAGTTAAACAAGAAGATAACATCTTACTTGTGGCCACTACCACATTTCAAAGACATGTGAAAACAGTTGAAATACCAAAAGAAAAAATATATTCATTTATTTGTTGTCCATGCAAAGAATCCCTTACAAATAGAATCAGGATCAAACTCTTCTGTAATTATGCATGGCCCTATTTAGCTTGCTGAGAGTACTCATTCACAGATTCTAAGGGACTCAACATAAAATTTCTGTTGCAGTTTTTGGTTTAAAGAGGCACACTCTTGTAGTCTTTTGAAGTTTAGGAATGAAAATAAAGCCATCATTCAATATATGTCGATAAATACATGTATGTAAATAAATGGCAGTTGTTAGAACACAAAATTCTAGCTTGCTATTGGATTTTGTCATGTTTTTAAGTTACATTCCTTATGGAAAAAAAATGGCTCCAAATAAAGTCACAAACTCCTCAGGGCCAGGGATTTAGCTCAGTGGTTCTGGTACCTGCCTCGCAAGCACAAAGACCTGAGTTTGATCCCCAGTACAAAAAAAAAAAAACAACAAAAATGTCACAAACTCCAGAATGGGAAAAATAAGAAAATTATAATTTACAAGAGCTATTCAAAGAGTTAAGAGATGGAAAAAATGAAAAAACAAGCAAAAAATCCAATTTCAAAAGCTCTCATAAGAGATCTTTGTAATTCCTCTAATAGTCTCTATCATCTTTCCATATTAAAAATGCTAGAAATACTGTAAGAATGTAAACAGAAAGTCAGACATGGTGGCATATGCTTGTAATCTTAGTACTAAGGAGGCTCAAGCAGGACTGCAAGTTCAGGACTAGCCTGGGCTACATAGGAAGGTCAGTCTGGATTATGTAGTTAAGACCCTGCCTCAAAAAACAAAACCCCAAAGGAATATAAAATTATTTCTTAGTTTATCTATTTCATACAATACAATTTGGCAAATTCTTTGTACTTTAATGAAACTGCAATCCCATTTTTGGAAGAAGTTTTTGTTACTGCTGTTGTTTTGGTCATTTGGGGGATCAAATCCAGGGCTTTCACACTAAGCTACATCCATAGCCCAATTTTTAATTTTCAGACAGGCTCTTACTAAATTACTCAGGCTGACCTTGGGATCCTCCTGCCTCAGCTTCTCAAACTGCTGGGATTATAGGCATGCCCCACATGCTATCTTGTAAAGTTTTAAATTCATGTCTTGTTTTCTAGCTTTAACTCTATAAAAGAAATTGACAAAATCTGGGGTCAGTTAACATAGGGATTGTATCTGACTTTTCATTTAGACTGGTTACATAGTGATCTTTCAAAAAACTGTTAAGAGTATCAAAATGCTAGCCAAATCTTGAGGGTTTTCTGTTGCCAAAAAAAAAAAATAGTTTCAAGCCTCATTTTAAACATCTGTAGGGAAGATTGAGCTCAGCAGCACTGTGCCTGCCTCTAAAGCACAAAATTCTGAGTTTGATCCCCAGTACTCCCTCCAAAATCTAAATGTAAACCCTAGAGCTTTAAGTCTAAAAACATTAAGATTTAAGATTAGTGGGCCGGGGATTTAGCTCAGTGGTTCTGCCACCTGCCTTACAAGCACTAGGTCCTCTATTCAATCCCTGGTACAAAAAAAAAAAAAAAAAAAAAATTAAGATCATTGCTTAATTCCCTTTCAAGATATCAATTTTGAGCCCTTACACCTTCTTCCACCTTATTTCACACTGAAAAACTGAGCAAAGGCCTAGTTTTTAATTTGTTTGATGTAACCTCAAAAACAAAGATTTAGGTCTGGAGGTGTGGCTGTGTTAAGAGTCACTGCCTAGCATGCACTAAAGCTCTGGGTTTAGTCACCAGCACCACAAAAGCACAAAAATGAAGATTTACTAATATGAAAATTTTAAAAATATTTTTATTGTATTAAAATTTCAAAATGGGAAGAGGACCAAGAAATAGAGAAAGGAGGAAAGGGGGAAGGCAAAGGGATATAAAAATAATTAAGATGTGTTATGTACATGTATCAAATCCACACAATGAATGTAATTAACTGCAAATGTACTAATAAAATTTTTAAAAAATTAAACTTTCAGCATTAACTAAAATTTTGTTTCAAACATTTTATTTGATAAATCTAAAAGTTATTAGGGCCAGGGATTTAGCTCAGTGGTTCCGCTGCCTGCCTGGCAAGCACAAGGACCCGAGTTCGATCCCTGGTACCGCCCTCCAAAAGATAAAAGTAATGGCTGGGTAATAGTAAGAGGAAAAAGCAATGTAATGTACAGTACCACATTATTCTCACTTGAGCCTCCACATGAAAACTCAGTGCTTTCAGGTACTCTAGTCTGAGGGTCCCAGCAGGGAAGGAGAGCTGTCTCTTTACAGAAAAGCAAAAGACGACCTAAATCCAGGCTTTCTTTGCAAGTCAGAAATGAAACCAAAACTAAAACTCTTAATCTTTGGAGCTCGCTTATTCTTTAAATTGATTCTTTGGCTCCTACTTGGTTTACCAAGTACATACTGTATTTAAGGATACGTGTTTAAAGAAAAATGTGAGAATACCAATTTATACCCAATTAGTGATTATGATTTTTCTTTTAATCTGTATTTTGTCTTTCAGGTATACTGTTGATGATTTTGATGTTCAGCTTTTTCCTACCATGGCTGCATAACAGTCAAACAATTAATAAAAAGGAGTAACTATTCCCAAAGACTCAGGCTAAGTTACAGGACAGTCAAGCTGAATGTGATAAAAAATTTTATCACATCATACTGGCTTCTGTGGATTCATCAATGTTTTAACTTCCACTGAAGAAGTTGTCTTTAAAGATTTCATCACTGGGACTTTAAAAAATTACTGTAAAAATGAGGTATTCTGCATTTCTCAGTTAAGACTTGTTCTTTGGAGTGATGTATTAAATGCTGCTAAAAAAGACCCACTCATTAAACTGCACATATAACCTCAAATAATTCTTAACTTTAATGATACTGTATAAGGTTGACCATGGAAGGAAAGGTGATAGAGCAGGACCAAAGAAATTATGTATCAGGTGTCACCTGGAAGAACAAGATTTTTACCCAAAGTACACAATGGTTTTGTTTACAGAACTGGAGAGAAGATATTTTTCAGCCACTACCTCAACACAGCGATACCATCAGTAGCATCACCTTTCACTAGGAAAGTTGCTTTTGGAAGTAGATGATACACCCTAAAGGGGTTTCCTAAATTTTAAATATATTCTAATCTAGTATCTAATAAAATTATTTTCTCTAAGTAGACAATCTCACTATCTTTAGGGAAGGTGATTCTGTAACAAAATAAAATGGGGCACCACAGAAATTAAGATTTAAACTTTAGGGCCAGGGATTTAGCTCAGAGGTGCTGCACTTAGTCTCACTTAGTGCAAGGCCCTAAGTTTGATCCCTGGTACAAAAAAAAAAAAAAAAAAAAAAAAAAAAAAAAAAAAAAAAAAAGAAAGAAAGCAAGAAAGAAATCAAGATTTCAGAGGACCAAGGATTTAATACAATGGTTCCAGTGCCTGCCCCACAAGCGCAAGGGCCGAGTTCGATCCCCAGTACCTAAACAAACAAACAAACAAACAAACAAACGCAGAGTGAGACCTTATAGTCAGATTTTCCTTTATTAGGCCAGGCGTGGTGGCGCATGCCTGTAATCCCAGCACTCAGGAGGCTGAGGCAGGAGGATTGCTGTGAGCCCGAGACCAGCTTGGGCTACATAGTGAGTTCAGGGCAGTCTGAACTACACAGTGAGACCCCGTCTCAAAAAAAAAAAAAGATTTCAGCTTTTCACTCTCTCATTTGCACCTTGTAAAGTAAACAAGAGTATAGACTTTTTTTTTCCAGTACCAGGAAATCACACTCAGGACCTTGCACTTGACAGGCAGGTGCAGTGCCACTGAGCTATATCCCGGGCTCTTAGGATATAGACTTTTAATTTCCATCTTATGGGAAAGGAAGCTAAGCACAGAGGACTTTGTAAGTGCTGCTCTGCCCAAGGTCACAGAGAGTCACACAGAGTTCTACTTCAACCCCAGAACTTGTTAGTCATTACTGTGACTAAACTGCAGGCTCAGAAGAAACATTAAAATTTTTTATAAAAATTAAAATTTAGGGGCCAGGGATTTAGCTCAGTGATTCTGCTGCCTACCTTGCAAGTGCAAAGTCCTGAGAGATCCCTGGTACCAAAAATAAATAAGTAAATGATTAAGTAAATAAATTTAGGTATTTTTTGAGATTTAAAGAACCTTCAGTTTTTCTGTCATAATCCTTTTATTTTATTAGGTCTAATTTTTATCAAAAGTTCAGGCCATAAAAAATTAAATGTGTTTCTCTTTAAAGGCAATTCCATTATCAATTAGATTTGAAGGTTTTTCAAAAAAAGGAGTGAGATATGATCTGCCTGAGTAATACTAATCATTTAATTAAGTCGCCAGGTAACTTAAGTGATGCTTAGAGATCAGCTTGGAGATAGTCATTCTACTTACACCTGCAGACAGAACCTGGTGCAGCTTGTTGCTGAGCCTACCTTACAAGGCAGCCAGTATGATGATAAGGTACTCTGTCGCTTTAACTCATAAACATACCAGAGCAGTAAGTAAAAATTAGAGGTCACAAAATTATGGACCAAGTAGTTAAATGTTAAATAGTTAAATGATAAGTTTTACTGAGCTGCCATAGTATTTAAAATAAGAAGTCATGCTGGATGTGGTGGTGCATGTTCGTAATCCCAACACACCAGCACTCGAGAGGTGGAGGCAGGAGGATCCCCATGAGTTTGCCATGAGTTCAAGGCTTGCCCAGGCTGCATAGTGAGTGCAAGGCTAGCCTGAGCTACAAAGTAAGGCCCTAACTAAAAAGGCTAAAAAAAAAGGTTTATCATTACCAATAACCAAAATCTATAATCACAAACACTCAATTCTCCAACTCTTAACCCCTTTCCAGCTCACCATTGTACCTCCTCCTATGATCCCAACCCCTACAGGGAACTTTTGCTTACTGATACTCTTTCACATTTGTCACACCCCCTGTATCCTTTTCTACGTGAGCAGCTTAAATTACCTGGGCAATCATCTTCACAAACACGTTTGCATTTACCTGCAACACCGTTCCTCTAGTTCATCATAATCACACAGCCTATAATTTGACTAAATGAAAAAAAAAGTCTGCTTCTTCTATGCCTGCAAACACATGTATTAGAGCACAATCTGAACTTTTCTAATTTGAAGTTGCAACAGACAATTATATTTTTAAAAAATTACCATTATTTTTTAAACAAACCAGCATCTTTCCTATTCGGGGTAATCCATCACTGTGAGACTCTAGACAGGGGCAATGCCTGCCATTCCACAAAGAAAGCTGAAAGAGACTATGTAGTTGCCCTAAGTGTGGTCACTCAAAGACATGGTACAATGAAGAAATCAGTCTAATACCATTGGGGGATACATCTTCAGTAACCACTCCTAGTTTCCAAACATTTTTATGAGCTTCGTTTATTTTCAACACCCCACAGCAAATTTTTTTTTTTTTTTTTTTGAGACAAGGTCTATTAGTTGAGACTGGCTTTGAACTTCCTAGGTAGCCCAGGCTTGCCCTGAACTGGCAGCAATTCTCCTGCCTCAGCCTCCTGAGTGCTGGGATTACAGGCGTGTACCACTACACCTGGCTGCCTGTCTATTTTGTGAGTCACCGGTAGCTTTCTAATGACTTTTTGCTGCTTGAGCTAGACCAGAATTTGAGCTGACAGATGATCTTAACTTTATAAAAACTGCTGTACTATCTTTATATTAATTGCCTTCACTATTTGCACTATATATTACCTAGGCTTAGATTACTCATTTTGAGAGTATTTGTTTCTGTTCATAATGCTGTTTTTCACTGCTACTACTGATATGCCTTGATGCAACCACTCCCATATATTTAACAAACCTGTTGCATGTCTAGAAACTACATTTTTCAGTACCTTAAACCTGTTTACAGAATGAGAGACTTGTAGTGAAAGTCTGAAGGGCCTATGGGGAAAAATTCAAGGATTTCATGGTCTATTTTAATTGCTCAGTACAGTTTTATATTTCAAACTTCACAGATGTACTTTAAATGGATGGTTAAAGTTGTACTATGAAAGTAAGTCATTACTACTATCGTTAATAATTGGCGTCTTTTGAGCTACTTCTACCTAGTTCCAAGTGCTTTATGTGTGTAATTTGGGAAATTATATATATGTGATTCATACAATTCCCCAAAAACAATCCTAAAAAGTTTCAGAATTATTAGCCGATATATACTTTTAGCTACTTAGCCTTATCCCTAAGTTATATAGCCCTTATTTTCTTTTTCTTTTGCAGTAGTGGAGACTGAACGTAGGGCCTCACTCATGCTAGGCTATGTCCCCTCCCCACCACTTTAAAATTCTGAAACAAGTTCTCTCTCAGATGTCCAGGCTGGCCTCAGACTTGCCATTCTCCTGAATAGCTGGGATTTTAGGTGTGCACCCTTGCACCTGGCTATTTTCTTTCTCTTTAAAAAGTATGCTAGGGGCCAAGGATTTAGCCAGTGGTGCCACCGCCTGCCTCACAAGCGCAAAGACACCCCCACCCCCCCACCTCTTACCAAAAATAAATAAATAAAAAGTAAGCTAAAAGCTGGGCGTGGTGGTGCAAGCCTGTAATCCCAGCACTCAGGAGGCTGAGGCAGGAGGATTGCTGTGAGTTTGAGGCCAGCCTGGTCTACATAGTGAGTTCCAGGTCAGTCTCAACTATATAGTGAGACCCTGTCTCAAAAAAATAAAAATAAAAAAAGTAAGCTAAAAACAGAATCCTAACCTGGTTCACTCCTCTCTCAGAAACTTTTCTGACTTCTCATTTGAAATTAGGAAATCCTTCAAATTAGATACTGATTTGTGTATATTGAGCAGAGTTAAGATCTCAGTTTAAAGATGTTCCAGCTCCTTTATCAAGGGATGGCAATAATTCTGTAAAGGGATATTGCTTAAAATTAAATTATTATATATTATTTGCAGAAAACCAGATGTGGATACATGGATGCATCCATTCTATAAAGAAATACTCTCCATAAGAATTAACTTAAATTGTGAACCTACTGAAATCCTGCAGATGAAGCAAATTTCAAGTATTTAGTATTTCTAAACTATCACCAATCATATCTGTCTAAAGCAAAGGGCCAAACATTATAATCATCTGAACATAATATACTCTCTTACCTTTACCAATACTGAGGAAGATACTAACACAATCTCAAAACACACAAGAATTTAAATATGCATGTTAGAAGAGTGTACATATCTGACAAGCTGATCTGAAGGAGGAAATCCATAGAGACCATATTTTCAAATGAAAACCTAAAACAGAACCACTAACCCACCCCGCTTTTTTTGGATACCAGGGATCGAACTCGGTAGTTTGTGCCTGCCAGGCACGCACAATGCCACTGAGCTATATCCCCAGCCCCACTAACCCTAGCTTTTAAGAATACTTTAGATGGCTCACATTTGATGGAGAAAAGAAAGATGCCTGTGCCTTTTTAAAATTTCTCAACATGAAGAACATGCAAATAGAACAAGTTCAAGCATTGGTGGCATAGTGGTGAGCATAGCTGCCTTCCAAACAGAACAAGTTCAGTAACAGTAAAATTAATTTTTTGGAGACAGGATCTAACAGTGTTGTTCAGACTGGCCTTGAACTTGTGATTCTCCTGCCTTAGCCTCTCAAGTGCCATGATTACATGCATGCACCACTATACCTGGCCTCCAGTAACATTAAAATTAAACTCAAACAGCCAGGGAATTAGCTCAATGGCACCACGCCTGCCTGGCAAGTGCAAGGTCCTGAGTTCGATCCCCAGCACTAAATAAATAAATAAATAAATCACATTATATGTGTAAAGAACTGAGGACAATGGTTCATTCACAGAAGTCTCAAAATTTTAGCTTCCATTTCCAAGTGGCTTTTTCATTTACCTATTGTAAGAGATGCAAAATTGCTGAAAGTCTCATTAAAACAGATGAGTTTTCTTTGGTCTACCTGGCAGAATTAGGGAAGCCAAGTGCAAGTGGGGAAAGTGGGCTAAAGGCTATCCAACTAGAATTCAGCTACTAATTAGCCAAACAACTCAAAATAACTTGTTCAACCTTATTTTTAAGATTATAATGATACCTTAAGTCCAAATCTAAGTTTATTAACAACAAATCAGCCTTACAACCCAAATGTCTATGAACTAAAGTGAGAGCTAATAAATATACAAAATTATTCCTGATCTAAGAAGCAACAGAAATTCCCTGAAGTGTGTTAAATCCTCACTTTACTAAATATTTTCCAGAAGTTCTAACTATATATACACTTTACTATTTCATGTTCATGAAAAAAGATATCATTTTTTTGCCAGCATTGCCTTAAAAGAAAAAATCCTCATGATTAGTTTTAGTCAAGAATCAGAGCACAGGGCTGGGGATTTACCTCAGCGGTTCAGAGGCCTGCCTTGCAAGCACAAGGACCCGAGTTCAATCTCCAGTACCAAAAAAAAAAAAAAAAAAAAAAAAAAAAGGAATGAGAGCACAGTACTATAGGAAACCTAGATTTATTTGTTAAGCTATTACAAAGACAAAACAATTATCGTCAGGAGTACTTTAAGGACCTTATCCCAGTTCACTTGTTCTCTTACAGAAAACTATCCTATAGAAGGCAGAAATTAAAGGATATAACCTAAGAGGCTATAACAAAGCAGACTGGAAAAACAGGTGCAAAGGACAGAAACTACCAAGAAGCACTTTTTTTTATGGAAGGATATGCAATTGGGATGTTTCCCAAGAGACCTCCTAGATAGGTCTGAATTAATTTGGGCCCAAAATCAGTGAGACTCTTGCCCCTTTGGAAAATGACAGAGACTGATACTTTTAAGACCTCTGCCTTTTCTTTTAGGGATAAGAATATCTCTCGGCCCCAAAGAAATGCCCTGCCCATCTTAACTTTAGTCTATTTCCTGCCCAATTCTTGTGCATTTTCACCACACTAGCGTAGACAACACATACAGCAAAGGCAGGAATTACAGGCCTAGTCGGCAGGTACCTAAACTTAGTTTTAGGGTAAATGATAAATTACAAATACCCCTTGGTTAAGCTAATTCACCTTTGTTAATAAAGGTCATAGTTTCTTCTGCTGGTGACAACTTGCTGTCTCAATATAGTTTATCTGGAAGAAGAACTGGTTTAAGTGAGTTTTGGAGAAGGAAAAAGACTTCCATCAACCTTTCTTCAGAGGGAAGAGGCACCAAGTTCTCTCCTACAGTTATGAGCAGAACCTGAAAAACAAAAGTTTGGCAGTGTTAACAGCAACTATCATTCATTGAATGCCTTTTCAAGGGTGCCAGAGAATTTAAATATACCTCAGGCCTTGAAATAACCCTGCCAGGCAGTTCTTATCATCCCCATTTTATAGATGAGGAAACTGAGGACTAGAAAACCTATAAACCTCATCCAAAGGCATAGTCAGTACATGGTAGAGTTATGATCCCACCATTCATGTACTTTCCCCCTCACTCCATCTCATGCATTGAGAAGTCCTAGTTCCATTATCCAGAAATTATTAATGGTTGTACAAACACTTATTCCATGTTCATCTTTCAATGGCACACCTATTTTATATAATTAAACATTTATAGACATTATTTGGAATTCAGGTCAACTACCCAGATGAAGAACATGAATAAACTTGATGAAAAGTATCTCTTTGCCTCTGGGTAGAGACCAGAAAATAGGTCATCAATTCATGAGAAAATCTGTGGCTATTTTATACTTATTTCACCATTACAAAGAATCCTAAGAATTCTTGCCAGGAACTGCAATAACATCCCATTTGTGTAACTATTAATGACAGTCCAAATGCGTTTCTCATGATCATTATTAACAGAGTAGCTGATATTCTTGAGTCTATTATGTGAAAGCCTGAAGATCCAAAATTCTGTCTTCCAGTTTTAATAAGTTACCAAAAAGCTATAACTGAAAAAATCAACATGCTATAAAGAATGTAATGAGAATAAGGAAAGATGACTGAATTAGGTACCAAAAGGTCTCTGATGGAGCAGAAGCACTTCAAGGCTTCCCATGAAGTAGAAGCTACAGATATCTGGAAGTGAAAGCTGAGAATCAAAGCTTATATAGCACTGGTGTGCACACAAATACAGGAGACATCACTGATTTTAAACTATACAGTAGCCATAGACATAAGTAAATGTGAAAATAGGAAGGGGACCGGGGAATTAGCTCAGCGGTTCGGTGGCCTGCCTTGCAAGCGCAAGGACCCAAGTTCAATGCCTGGTACCAAAAAAAAAAAAAAAAAGATTTATGGGAAGAACAGAAATGACAAAAATAACAGAACTTTACGTTACTTTCTGATAGTTTTACTGGCAGGACCTGGGAAGGAAACAGTATCACAATTCATGGTTGGTGTGAGAAATAATGTTTTATTCACAACAGCAATTAATCTGGTAGGACTGGAACTTTAAAAAGGCTGATTTCTGATATAAAATGAAAAAATGTTTAGGAATAAAACTTTTAATAAAGATAAACAGAAATAAAATCTACAGCAGGAAAAAGAAGGAATTCTGAAATATTTATCTTACCAGCAAATAATGAGCGCTCTTTACAACCTAACTGGATGACTAATGAGGTAGCAGAGTTAAGTCAAGTCAAATATACAAATGTTGCTAAATAAAACTACCTGAGAAGCAGTGGCTCAAAAAGCTCATCCAGACAGTATGCAAGAAGATAAAGCCATTATAAGGCAAAAAGTGGGACAACAATTTAATGGGAAAAATTTCATTGCTTATAAAGGAAAAACTACTAAGGTTATTCGTGCTAGCTCTATATAGCATGAACTGGCTACATACCTAATATACAGCTTATATACTCAAGCTGACAAAGGAGGATAATATACTTCTCCCTAACAAAGTAGCAAACAAAGACAAACTTCAGGCAAAGCTCCTTACTATACACCAGAGGAAAAAAACTGTACAAGAGTTCTTCCATATGTCCGTCATGAAAAGCAGAAAGGAAACAACCTGGGAAATGATGGCTTTTGGACAACTGTACAGGGACTTGTTATGGTTAGGAAAAATCAGCCTTGACTACTAAAGTGCCCAGGACCTTTATGTCTCATTGTTTTCCCAGGAGGAAACTCAACACAAGATTATGATTAATGCCTTATAAAGTTAGTTTGGAATTACTTCTTCCTCCCTAAATTGAAAAGCAGTGGGAAGTAGCAAGTCATGAGCATGTTAAGGTTCAAGTATCACAGCAAGAAAAGATGACTCAAGAGCAGACTATGGCATGATCTCAGGTTCTACTATTCCCACATGAGCCAACGGGGAGGTCTGTTTCTGAACAAGTGCTCAGTATCAATGGCTAATCTCTTAAATTCATTTATGACTTTCTTCTACAAAACTCTCAATTCCCACAGGAGTGCTTGGCGTACAGTAAGTGGTAGATATTAAAATGAACATTACTATGTTTATAGACTTTGATTTCTTAGAGGAAAAAAAAAATTCCAGTAACTTCAGAAATGAATAACATTTTTCCAAACTACTTACCTTATACAGCTTTCTTAAATTATGAAAATTAATCATTTCATATGACATTTATTGATTGATTGATTGATTGTCCCGGGGATCAAACTCAGGACCTTACTTTTGCGAAGCAGGTGGCAGAAAAACTGAGCTACAACCCCAGCTGACTTCCATGTTTAATAACTAACTACTCACCTTAAAGCAACATAAATCCTTTTCAGTGATCAACATCTGCATCTTCAAACTGTCCTGCAACTGCTGGTGTAGTATCTACTTCCATGCCATCTGAATGAAAAAAGTTAACTGCTGAGTCATAGTCTGCTAAGCATTTGAGATAAGTAAAGATTCAATTTATAATTTCAATTAAAAGGAAGCTACTGCCCTCTGCTGGTAAGATTTGCTTTTTTTGGTTTTGTTTTGTTTTGGGGGGTTTTTTGGTACCGGGATTGAATGCAGGACCTTGGGCTTGAGAGGTAGGCATGGTGCCACTGAGCTAAATCTCCATCCCGCCTCTTTTTTTAAAAAAAAAAAAAAACTAAAGTACATTCCAAAAAGAGTTGAAAAAGGAAAGTGATAATGATAGATTTAGCTTAGTTAAAATTACTATATACATTTAACATTTACTTTGTAAAATCTCAACCTCAACATTAAAAAGACTCTAGGTAGGAACTTTCTTTTTCTTTTTTGGTATCAGGAATCAAACTCAGGGCCTTGAGCTTGCCAGGCAGGTGTTGTACCACTGAACTTTATCTCCAGCCCTCTTTTTCTTTTCTTTTTTTATTTTGTGGTACTGGGATCAAATCCAGAGCTTCATGCACACCAGGCAAGTATTCTCTGCCATTGGGCTACATCTCTAGCCCTAGGTAGGAACTTTCAAATGCAGTAAGTTTCAACAATTTATTCTTCTCAGATCTGTGCTATTTATGATACTTTTTTTGTAGTCCTATCTCCACAAAACCTATAGCATCATTCAGGAAAAAGGATAAAATCAGCAGAGTGAACTTCTTGCTCATCTGTTTTTCTCATCTCACTAAAAAGTTGGGAAGGAAACATGGAAAACAAGTCCAGAGACTTGTACAGCGGCTTTCTCTATTCCTTCATCCCTATTCGTACCTCAACTCTTCAGCCACCAAACTTCTGCCAAAAGCCCCTTGCCATACCATCACCTGGACATGCAAATGTCATGTATCTAAAGTAATTTATCACATTTTAAATGTAAAAATACTTCTCCTTCCCATCTGGCCAAAGGGTACCTCTTATCTGCCCAAACCAGAAGCACAGACATATTTCTAACTTCTATTGCTTCTACCTCCTAAATCTCTTAAATCTGTTATCTTTTGATATTCACTGTCTATACTTGTCACATCTGTAATCTAACTTAATATATGTTACATAACCTAACTTTTCTCTTTCTTCCAGTATCTTTCCTCTCCAATGAATGTCCCATACTGCAACCAAGTCATCATCTAAAACATTAATCAAATTCTTTAATGGCTTTCCACTGACACAGGGTAATGTGTAAATCCCCCACTCTGATACTTGGGACTGAACCCAGGGCTTTCACATTGAGCCACATCCTCAGCCCTTTTATTTTCCTTGTTTTTGACAGAGGGTCTCCTTACATGTGAGCCATTACACTGAGCTGTTTAATTAGACTTTCAACTCCCTCTAAGACATAGCCCATTTCACTACTTTACCTTTCTATAAAACTACCCTCAAACTCCAGACATAACTAATTCACAGTTCCCCAAAGGTAACTGGTCCCTTAGTGAGATCCTGTCTCAAATAAAAGAGCCTAGAGGCCACGTATTCAGCTCAGTGGCACTGTGCCTTCCTTGAAGCACAAGGTCCTGAATTTGATCCCTGTACCAAAACTAACTAAATAAATAAAATTAAATTTAAAAAAAAATTACTAAGCTTAGAAGATGGACCAATGGTGTAGATGAAGAAGTCTTATACATAGGCAGTTCTAGTATGTTAATAAAGTTTGGGCATAAAGGCCAAAAATATCATTTCAGCCAAAAGTGTGTAAAGCATGTGTCATAAGTTGATAAATAATGGGGCCGGGGATTTAGATCAGTGGCACTGTACCTGCCTTGCAAACACAAGGTCCTGTGTTTGATCCCCAGTACCAAATAAACAATTACTAATGAATTTTTCAATTAAATAAGTCTTCAAAATAAAAAATAAAAAATGGTTGGGGATAAGAGCCGGGGATTTAGCTCAGTGATTCCCCCGCCTCTTCACAAGTGCAAGGACCCAAATTCGATCCCCGGTACCAAAATAAATAAATAAATAAATAAATAAAATTTTAAAAACACCCACAAAAACAAAACAACAAAAAACAAGAGTTGAGGATATAGCTCACTTCAATCCTACTAACACATACCCACAAAGGATGTTACAGTTAATTTTACGTGTTAACTTGGCTAGGCTGTGGTACCCAGACAGTTTGCCAGACATTATTCTAGATGTTTCTATGGAGGTATTTTTTAGCTGACATTAAATCAGAGTACTTCTGAGTAAAGCAGAAGGCCCAGGAGAAAAATGACTGATTTTTCCCTAAGCAAGAAGAAATTCTGTCAGTAGACCATCACCTTTTGACTCAACCAGCTCTTCCCTAGGTTTCCAGCCTGCTAACCGGCTCTGAAGATTTTGGACTTGCCAGTCTTCACCAGGATCAATTTCTTAAATCTCTCAATATTTACTTATCTATGTATGCTTTCAGATGCATATATAATATACAAATGACTGATTTTTCCCTAAGCAAGAAGAAATTCTGTCAGTAGACCATCACCTTTTGACTCAACCAGCTCTTCCCTAGGTTTCCAGCCTGCTAACCGGCTCTGAAGATTTTGGACTTGCCAGTCTTCACCAGGATCAATTTCTTAAATCTCTCAATATTTACTTATCTATGTATGCTTTCAGATGCATATATAATATACACATATAGGAAACATCCCTATATTTTACACTTATGAAGGATTATTGCATTTAATAGCAGATGTTAAATGGTAATAACAGATACAGGGTCAGGGACGTAGCTCAGTGATGCTGCGCCTGCCTGGCAAGTCCAAGGTCCTGAATTTAATCCCCAGTACCACAAAAAAAAAAGGTAAAAGCAGGCATAAAATACAGGGATGTTCACCTGCTATGTATGTGTGTGGCAGATACAATCAGTTGTTTCTCTGAAGAACTAGGACTAGTGGAACAGGAAACTCCAGACACAGATGTGGACAAAGGGGAAAGCACATGAAGACACAGGGAGAAAATAGCCATCTACAAGCCAAGGAAAGAGGCTTGATTCAGATCCTTCCCTCATGACCTCAGAGAACCAATCCTACATAGAAATTTTTTATATTTTAAGCCATTCAGTGTACTTTATTATCAAACTAATACAAATTTACAAAAGAAAATTAACAGCAGGTATATCTCAGAATAATTTTTGGTTTTGCTTTTGTATTTCTTCTTTGCCTGTGAGCATTTTAAAAATATTTGGGGCTAGGAATGTGGCTCAGTGGTACAATGCTTGCTTAGCATAGTGAGGCACTAGGTTTGAGCATACATACATATTACCTGCCACCAAAAGAGAAGGCCATGAACATAGACTATTTTTGAAGTTGGTACAGATGTGGGGGGGGAAGTTCACTAACAAAACCATTACAAATTGCTATTTTATGCTTCCCACACCATAAAGAATTAATTCTGATATTTTTTCTATAGTTTCCAAAAGACAATGTTTAGCCTGGATAGCTCAGTCGGTAGACCAAGACAATGTTTCTCTACAATGTCCAGTACTTCCCAAGCGGCCATTTGTTCACACTGAGGAGAAAGATACTCACCTTCATAATCTCTTACTGAATCTTCTGTCCGTACCCCAGCCATGTTATACTGGCTGCTCACAGACTGGGAAAGCATTCCTTCTAGTCTCTCCAATGTGGCTTGCCCTTCTGCTGTTAAATGGGATAATCCTTCTTCATAGGTATAAAATGTAGGGATATCCCCCTGTCCTTGTTCTACACAAACAAAAAGTTTTAAAGCTGTTATATAATAAATAGAAAACCAAAACTAACAATCAATAAAAAATATGCTAGATAAGGTATAGTGAAAACAGACTTCTGGGAAAATACTTCAAACATTTATTGTAAAGGCCACTGTTGACAAAATTTTACAAATGAGTACAAAATTAATTTGATACTAATCTGTATGGAAAGTATTTTTTTCTGATTAATATAAAACTCATTTAAAAATCTGGAAATAGGAACTGGGGATTTGGCTCAGTAATTTGGCTCAGGGATTTTGCCTGCCTCATAAGCATAAGGTCCCAAGTTTGATCCCCAGTACAAAAGAAAAAAAAAATTCTGGAAACAAAGGATTTTTAAAAATCAGTCAAAAATCTCAAAAAAAGATCAGGTCATATTTAGGTACCATATTTCCCCCCAAATAAAACCTAACTAGAAAAATAAATTCTAGCATGATTTTTCAGGATACTCATAAGTCCTACCTCCAAAAGAAGCCACATTTAGATTTTTCAGCCAGAGAGATGCATTTACTGGCAGTACATGTTGACATACCAAATAGTAATATTAATAACAAATATAAACAATATTATTAACATTAATACTTAAAATGATAATATAAACAATAATTAAGTATTTATAAATACCAAAGCGGGAGCCTTTAGACAAGAGGTAAAGCCCTATGTAATAGATGACTGCCAGTCTTAATGCCAAATGACCAATTAGAGTACACACACAACACATGAATGATGTGCACACTAGATAATGAATGGACATGGCTGTGCCTAATATGAATCTTCATAATACAACATGTGTTGTAACAGATATACTTAATGCACTCCCATGAAATAAAGACATTTTCTGAATTTTGGTGTGGTACCTGTAATTTTTTGTTGCTTTTGTATGGACCATCATTCCTACTTGTCATCAGTTTTGTTGCTCCTCCTGTCTCATAATTAACACTTGATTTATGGAAACTCTGTGAATTCTAGCCTCCAACAGGTTGTGACTTGGGTGAAGAACTCATGGAATAAAATCAATGATGGGGCTGGGGATTTAGCTTAGTGGTGCCACTGCCTGCCTTGAGAGCTCAAGGTCCCGAGTTTGATCTCCAGTACCAAAAAAAAAAAAAAAAAAAAAAAAAAAAAAAACAAAACACAATACTTGGTTTTAGTGGCTTTCCTCCTGATGGCTCACCCTGTGTCCTCCAGGGTATACTTTTATCTTGCTTTTCCCTCTTTTACTCAGCTCACGCTCCTATGTAGAGCTGGTCCCCCTCTCTCTCCCTCCCTCCCTCTCTCCCTTACTTTTTCAAATAAACTTTATCACCATTAAAAAAAAAATCACTGACAGCTGTGCCAATGCACTATGAGCAGGCTACATAGACAGCAAGCATTCATTTAAGGATAGCTCTACCACTCAACATGAGAGAACGGGGCCAATGTTTCTACAGGAAATGGAGTCACAAGAAATTCAGGCTGGAATTTGGGGTTTGGAGAGTTGTGACACTGTTCCAGAAGATGATGACAAGACTATATTTGGATAAAAACGGATTTCTGTACATGAATAAATGAGTAAATGTAGACTGTAATACATGATATAAATGCAATTGTATTACATAAAAAAATAAGACATCCCCTGAAAATAAGCCCTACTGTGTCTCTTGGAACAAAAATTAATATAAGATCCCATCTTCTTTTTAGGGAAATACAGTATGTGAAGGAGGAAAATCCCAGAAATAAGTCTGTCTCAGACTAGGAATTGGGTACACAGAGAAGAAAGGGCTTTGGACACCCAGAATGGTGTGAGGAAAAGCACGGAGAACAGCACGTGCCTCAAGCTACAACTCTACAGGCCAACAAATACATACTGGTCTGGGGAGGCAATGGGAAACATTCTTAAATAAATGAAGTATGGTTCTAAGAAAAAAGAAATGACCTCGGCAGTAAACTGAAGAAATATGTCAAAGAAGGATAAGATGACCCAGCCTCTCGAGGGGTGGCTTGATTTCTGGGGGCAGCTATCTGAGCTTAGAAGACTTTACTGACCACCTTCTTTCTATCATTTGCTTTCCTTCCATTTGTCTCTGGATATCCACTTTCTCCCTCCAAACATCTCTTTATTTCAACCCTCAAAAGCCTAGAACACCTCTAAATTTGCCAAATTTGTCTATTGAGTGCCACTGTATTGCTCACTTCTATTTATTTATTTATTTTTTGTATTTTTCCCCTTTCTTTGTGACAGGGTGTACTATGTAGTTTAGGCTGGCCTTGAGCTCATAGTGATCCTCCTGCCTCAGCCTCCCAAGTGCCAGGATTACAGGTGTGCGCCACCACACCCAGCTCACTTTTATTTATAGCCATTATACTTCAAGAAGATGTAAAGAACTAATAATGCCCCAGCCCCCAGTACAAATGAATGCCCAAAAAACACGAGACACTAAAACAAATACTTAAAGATCCGTTTCACTAACCATGGGCTTCCACATCATATTCTTCTCCATCATAATCATCTGAGTCTTCATCCTCAGGATCTGGGTGCAAAGCCTGGCACTCACACATTGCAGTGAACATCGCCTCCACTGAACAAGGACATTAAATTGTAACTAATATTTAAGTGTACAATAAAATTTTACAATAGAAATATGCATCAGTGCAAGTCAATTTAATGAGTAGGTAAAAGGTATCCAGGATAGCAACATAAATATACCTTCGAAATTCCAAAGTGGACTGATCCTGACAGTGCATGAGACAGTGGACAAGTTACAAGAGTTCAAGTTATTACTAAGATCTCTTCATGGCTGGCTGGTTTTCTTGAAAAAAAGGATCAAAGTCCTTGATTACAGTATGTAATCCCTTTGCCATCCATCCATCCATTTATTTATTTATTTGGTTTTTTTTTTGAGACAGGGTCTATGTAGTTCAGACTGCCCTGGAACTCATTATGTAGCCCAGGCTGGTCTTGAACTTGCAGTGATCCTCCTGCCTCAGCCTCCCGAGTGCTGGGGTTACAGACATGTGCCACCATGCCCGGTGGCTTTGCCATCCATTTACTGAGATTCTCACAGTCAACAGCATCAATCAATAAAACTAACCAGAGTCTTTCAGTCACAAAATGTACCAGGTAACATGGTATCTACAATACTCTCACTACATTCGCAATCTTTGCTATGAATAGGTACCTGGTCCTAAATATTACAGATGCAAAAAAGAAAAGTAACAGAATATAGGTAATAGTTCTAAAGGTAAAGGGTAAGGGTATGTATGTATATATGAGAACGGGGGGGCTAGGGATTTAGCTTAGTAGTTCCACTGCTTGCCTCACAAGTGCAGCAAGGTCCCAAGTTCAATCTCTGGTACCAAAAAAAAACCCCAAAAACACAAAACAAAATAAGGGGAATGCTTGTACATAAAGGAATAGACTACTATAGAATACTCACATGCTGATTTATCACTAGGAACAAATCTAAATTCAGTAATAGGTTCAATATCATCATCACTGTCTTCCTCTTCTTCATCAAGAGATTCTTTTACTTCTTCTAGAAAGGGAATAATAACTTTTTAATTACAGTGCTTGCTTCGGCAGCACATATACTTTTTAATAATATCATTTATTTAATTAAAAAAAAAAGCTAGGAGAAATTCCTAAAAGATATTTATTGACATATTTGAATACTGCCATTCAATTTGGGGGGTAGGGGGTACTGGGGATCAAAACCAGGGCTTTTATACTGAGTTATATCCGCATCCCTTAAATTTTTTTTTTTTTTTTTTTTTTTTTTTTGAGACAGGGTCTTGGTAAGTTGCTGAGGCTAGGCTTAAACTTGAGATCCTCCTGCTTCGGTCTCCCAGAGTGCTGAGGTTACAGGCATGCACCACCGCACCTGGTTTCAGTTTTTATGGTTATTTTATAGCTAAAAAAAGGTTCTGGGTTCTGAGGGTATGGCTCAGTTGTAGAGCATTTGTCTGGCATGTTCAAGGGCCTGGATTCAATTCCTAGTACAGTAAAACAAAACCAAACAAACAAACAAAAACTCATACCAGCATTTAAAACTTAACAAAAAAACTCAGGTCTTGATTACTATAAATGAATGAATGCTTTGCTTGTTTGTTTTTTGGTACCAGATTGAATTCAGGTCCTTACACTTGTAAGACAAGTGGCGGAACCACTGAGCTAAATCCCAGCCCTGAATGCTTTAAATTAAATACAACATACAATTCTCTTCATTATTGGTACAGTCTGAATTGTAAATGTTATTCGAAGGCCCACATATTAAAAACTTGGTCCTCAGTCTGTGGTGTGAATAGGAGGTGGTGGAACCTTTAGAAGGTGGGGCCTGGTAGAAAGAAGTCGAGTCAGAGGAGCTACACCCCAAAAGGGGATCTCAGGACACCTGTTCCTTCTTTGCCACTATGCAGTAAATAGGCCTCCTTCACCATGTGCTCCTGCAAAGATGTACCACACTACCACAGGCCCAAAGCAACAGGCCAAGTGACCACTGAGTGAAACCTCTGAAATAGTGAGTCAAAATAAACCTTTCCTGCATTAAGTTGACCATTTCTGGTATTTTGTCACACTAACATAGTTCTAAAAGTACAGTTGCATTTACTCAGATGCTGAGTAAATTTTGGCCTAATACCGCTTTAAGAAGACTTATCACTGGGCCAGGGATTTATCTTAATGGTGCTGCTGCCTGCCTCACAAGCACAAGGACCTGAGTTCAATCCCCAGTACCAAAAAAAAAAAAAGATGACTGACTTATTAAAACTCAAGGTCAATGGCTGTTTACTCACTAGATTTTTTTATCTCTTTGAACCCTGCCCAATGGCAAGATTTAAACATCAAACATCTTACAACAAAAATACTTTTAGGTAATTGAATCAGCCAGTACCACTTAATGAAGCAGGGCTTGCCAGAGTCCTAAAAACTAATAATTAAGTGTCACAACTGACTATAAATGGTCATATCATAACTGGAACCATACGAAAATCTCAGTTCGAAGAACGATTTTAAGAGGCAAACTCACAGACTGTTATATAATATGTGAAAGAAAAGCAACTCATTATTTTAAAAGCAAACATTTTTTGCTAGATTTTTATGAATCTTTGCAACTATCTCCAACAGCACAACTTGTAACTAGGTTTTCTAAACATTGGCACTTTTGACATTTGGACTGGATATAATTCTTTATTGTAGTGGCTTGCCTTGTGCATTGTAGGATGGTTAGTAGCATCTTTGGGATCTAACTGTTAGATGCCAGAGCACCCCTCCCTCTGTCTGATCAAAATGTCATTGCCAAATGCAGGGGATAGAGATTTGAGTAGAAATGCGTGAAAATCATCCCCACCCAACCACCGAGAACAAATACTGTAACAAAACAAAACAGTTCTATCCTGCATTCCTGGAAGCACAAAATATATTGATCCAAGCCTCAAGGAGAAAGACAAATAACAAAGAGAAAGATAATAAACAGTTAAACTCAAGAAGAAAAAGTACAAATATATGCCCACAATAATAGACCAATTCTAAGTGCAAATATATAGAAAATAAAGTAGATACCTATAAACGTCAATTATAACAACTTCTAGGGTACAAATTATTTTATGGTGCTAAAATTTTGCTTAATATACTATTATACAAAGTGGATTAATAACTTGAATACTACAATATATCAAAGACTGCATTTTGGAAGGGTATACTGCCACATATCTACAGCTTCAGCTATTTGAGAGGCTGAGGCAGAGAATGATCACTTGAGCTGAGGCGTTCAGGTCCAGCCTGGGCAACACAGAGAGACCCTGCTTCAAAAGTAAGTGAGTAAATAAAGATGGCTTTTTAAAGCACAGTATCAAAGGAAGGACTAGATTAAATTATACCATACATACCTCCAAATTTAGCATTCACCATAACATACAAATGTTCCCGTGGATAGGCATTTAGGTCCCTGGAAACAGCATGTAAACTAATGGTGGGGTATTCCAATGAGAATCCTAATCCGGAACCATCTAACCAAGACAGGCGGCTGAAAAACAAGTTTTAAGTTATTACTTTTAGAAGTTAATCTTATTTCAATACCCCTACATAATAGTCCGTCCTGGATACTTTTATTCATGTGAATAAATTGAAGCTTATGGCTTAGAAATTTTCCTAAGAGAAAATTTAGCAGGAGCTGGGTATTTAGCTCAGGGGCACCATGCCTGCCTGGCAAGCACAGGGTCCTGAGTGTGATTCCAGGTACAAAAAAAAAATTTAGCAGAAGGAAATGAATTTTGTTTGATTATGATAAGCTATAAGTTCAAATCTGAAATGCAATTTTTCTAAGTCACCTGTGTGTTTCTATGGCTCTTATGTGCTCACCCTCCTTTCCCAAGTATTAGGATTGAACCCAGGGCCTTGTGCTTGTCAGACAAGTGCTTTGCCACTCAATTATATCACCAGCCCTATGCCTATGCTTAGCTGAACCACCTACAGGCACCAGCCTCTTTTCAATTACTTCAGTAATTGAAGTTATCTCGTTTCTAAACTGCATTTAAACTAAAAAAAGTTACGATAATGAATCTTACAGATACCCTGCTGCTTGACAGCTGAATGTGACCTGTGACATTATTTACCATTCTTCAAAAACTTTAGAATAATGATCAGCATGTGATCATTCAATCAACGCCTAGTGATTTACTAACTGCTCCACTAATCTTACAGTAAATGCTATATCCACAAAATGGCTGTATTGTTAATTATAATCACAAGTCAGAAAGGAATTTTAGTACTTCCTTAAGAGACAAATTCTATGAAGATTTTCATTTACTCTCAGCTTTCAGCAAAAGCCACAGATAAGCTAGGTTTAGTTTACCCTTAAAAGGAGTCAAATATTTTATTGGTATAACAAAGCAAACTACACCTAAGATTAGTATGAGTTTTGAATATATGTTGCCTAATATTTTTGGTAATACTGCAAACATCAGGTCCTACTGTACAGCATATCAAGGCGGGGGGAAGATCCTGAAGAAACCACAAAAAAATTAATGTAATATAAATCAATCCAGTCTAGTGAGGAGGCACACACCTGTAATCCCTGCACTCAGGAGGCTGAGGCAGGAGTGACTGACATGAGTTCAAAGCCACCTTGGGCTACATGGTGAGTTCAAGGCCAGTCTGGATTACATAGCCCTGTCTCAAAAAAAAATAAAAAAACAAACAAACAAAAAAATCAATACGGTATAGTGGTTGTCTAAGGCTAAGAAATATGGAATGATTGCTAACGGGACCCTAGTTTCTTATTGAGGCAATAAAAATATTCCAAATTGGACTGTGGTGATGGCTACATAACCCTGTAAATGGGATAATAACCACTGTATTGTACATTTTAAATGAGTAAACTGCACGCTATGTGAATTACCTCAATAAAGCCATTATTTAAAAGAGAAGTTAAGGATTTGCTCAGTAGTAGAACACAGACAGTGCACATGAGGCTCTGAGTTTAATTTCCAGCACCAAAAAAATAAATAAGCAGTTAAAAACACTTCTGTATCATTCTATTTTCTGTAAAACTTTAACAAACCCAGTGTCCATCTTCTAACCAAGAAAAAAAAAGCACAATAGAAGAACCTGGACCTCTTTTGTCAAGGAACAATGACAGGGTAGAAGTCTGAACTCACTCCACATTCAATACAAGATGTTGAATTTTACATCTCAACTCCCCTGGGAGATCCATGTCCATAGTACATGACCAGTTATCAAAAGCATTTTACCAAATTGTGGTGGTAACTATACAACTCCATATATATACTAAAACTTATTTAATCGACACTTTAAAAAATTAAAAACAGGAAAATGTGTACTGTCATGTGCAAAGATGTCAACCCAACAGGTTAAAAAAAAAAAAGGAAAATAGTATAAATAGGGATCAAAATGCATACTGGATAATGCGAAATAGGAAGTTAAAGGTCCAAAGGGGAAGAGGAAGTGAGAGGGGTAGGGGAGAGGAATAAATATGAGAAAAGGAAAAAACAGAAACAAAGACTTTGTAAATAGGGAAGAGTGGAGGGGTTGAAGGGAAGGAAAGGGAATGGGGAAAAAAATAAAAACCAAGATATATCATTTAAAGGTACAAATTACCAACGATGAATGTCATCATACTGTATACCTAAAATGTACCAATAAAGTTCATGAATTTTTAAAAAAGGACAACAGAATAAGAAAATGTGAAAAGTTTAAAAATTATAAACCTTAAAAAGTAAAATCATTTTCTAGAATGACTTATCCCCACTGGTTCCCAAGAAAACACATTCATTAGGTAATTAAATTGTGTGCTGCATGTGCCTTTCCTGTCTGCTGCTTGTCTTTTATGTGGAGATGAAATAGTGTTCACAGATCCCAAAAATCACTCCACTAAAATCGTTTTTCTTTCTTTTTCTTTTTTTTTTTTTTTGTGGTACCGGGGATCAAACACTAAAATCTTATAAAGAAAATAACTGCCTTTTACTTCCCTCAAAAATCTCAGATACAATCAGAATATTTAAATTGTGGAATATTCCACACTTAAGTGTCCATAATAATTTCAAATATCCAGAACCACAAAACTTTAAATGACTCAATTGAGAGATGGGAAAATAAACACAGAATCAGTGCCTATCAAATTGTGGCCTTTAGTTTAAAGGCACATAATAACTGCTCTGTACTGCTTTACTGCAGACAGATGCTGCCTCAGCATGGCATTCCAATGATGCTCTCAGAATCTTAGAGATAGAAAGGGATTCTGTAAATGCAATATTTACTTGATCATTAAGTTTTTTTCTTTTTTTTTGGTACTGGGGATCAAACTAAGGTCCTTGTGCTTACAAGGCAGGCACCAGAACCACTGGACTAAATCCCCAACCCAATGATCATTAAGTTCTGATTTGTGTTTTTCACATATTCTAGAAGAAAAGCCCTCAAAGACCAAAATATATTATTATATCCAGTTCTAAAAAAACATACATCATAAAAGATAAAGACCAGAATTAGAAAGCCAGCAAACGTGGACACTAATGTTTTTCTAAATTTCAATGCTTTCTATATTCCTGGCATAGAGTTAAAAAAAAAGGACAGTAAAGAGAAGCTTTGAATTTGGGTTGGCATATTTGGCTTAAAATTATTCCTGGAATGAGACATCAAAAGGCCTTATATCTAAATTTAAATTACCTCTCTCTTTTTTTTTTTTTTCCATCATGGTAGTACTGGAGGTTGAACCCTCCTACATGCTAGGCAAATGCTCTATTAGTGAGCTGCAGTCCAGACCTTTTTATCTTATTCTGAAACAGGGTATTACAAAATTGCCCAGGCTGGCTTTGAATTTGTAATCCTCCTGACTCAGTTTCCCAAGTAGCTGGGATTACAGGACAGCACTTGCCAGGTTTAAATTACCTATTTTGCCTGTTTTAAATTATCCAAATTACCATATTTGAGTACAAAGTCAATTTCCTATAAAAACTAAGCCTGATAAATACTGAATAGTTTCTCTAGTGTGAGAAACTGAAAGTGTAAATAAGGAATAAAAGGTATAATAGATAATGTGAAATAGGAAGAAAAGGAATAAAAAGGAAGGGGAAATGGATGGATAGGGGAAAGGAAAGAAGGGAATGGAATTAATATGAAAAAATGAGAGGGCTGGGGATTTAGCTCAGGTTCGGCAGCCTGCCTTGCAAGCGCAAGGACCTGAGTTCAATCCCCGGTAGCCCCACCCCCCAAAAAGAAAATGAGAGCTGAGGAACTAGCTCAGTGGTTCAGGTGCCCAAGGACGCGAGTTCAATCCCCTCAATCCCGGTACCTAATAATAATAATGGAAACAAAGTCTTTGTAGATAGGGAGGGGTTGAAAGGAGGGCAGGGGAATGGGGAAAAAATAAGAACCAAGACTGATTATGCAAAGGTATACATTTCCAACAATGTCATTATACTGTATACAGTAAATGTACCATTAAAATTAAAAAAACAAAAAACAAACTAAGCCCAAGAGTTCTACATCTCTAAATACAGATCCGCCAAATTTGAGAGCCAGGCGTGGTGGCAAACGCCTGTAATCCCAGCACTCGGGAGGCCGAGGCAGGATTGGATTGCTGTGAGTTGAGACCAGCCTGGGCTACATAGTGAGTACCAGGTCAGTCTCAACTACATAGTGAGACCCTGTCAAGAAAAGGGGAGGGTGGGGGAGGGAAAAAGGGA